ACTTCTGTCTTGAGCCCAGTACCTTCATTTGTGTTGGTCAGGCTGATGTGAGTACCTGGAAGAAGGATATGTAGTGAGAAATTACAAAGCTGAATTTGAAAGGATAGAGAGAGTCATGTGGGAGCTTAAGTACTGGGAGGAAACATCATATACAGATAGGATTTTGGGTGTTCCATAGGTCTCAGTGTTTGGGATTTTCGGTGAGTTTTGACAGAAGACATGCATGAAAAGGAAGGAAGGCAGAGACCAGGAGTACAGAGAAATAGAAGTGGGATGCCAAAAACCATGGGAATGAGAACCGTACAAGAGGGAAAGTGTGGAATATGCAGGCTGTCACAGAATAAAATCTCTGCAGTCATCTTTGAAAGCCCAGAAGAGTCCCTAATATACAGTAGAAGACTTTTAATTTAAATTGGAACTTAAAGAGGGAGGACTTTTAATACTTTTAATACAGATGGTATTTTTCTGAACATGCTACAATTTTTTTCTGAAACAATAGAAGAATTTTCATTGAAATTGGAATTTAGAAGAGGGAAGAGGTTTAATACAGATGGCATTTTTTCTGAACACACTATGATAAAATATATTGAGGTGTCTGCTGCTATGTAACAACTTCTTTTCCTACCCCCTTACCTTTTCACTGTTCATTACACTGAGAGCTCACACAGATACAGTCGCTTTTGGAGGGGGCCATCCTTAACTGAGGTCATAGGTGGGGTTAATGTTTGTCACTTGTGCCCTCCCACTCCCACTAGATTAGCTGCTAATCTAATGTAAAAGTGGGGGTTCATTAAAAACAATAATAGCAACAAGGGAACAGGAAAACCTCACAGTCCGCCTGAAATGTCTGCCATTTTCCAAAATATATGAGGCTAGAAATTGAGGGATCTGGTAAAAATCCCTTTTACTTATTGCCCTTAAATTCAGTTATGTCTTGAAATGAGTCATGAAAAATCCAGCTAATCTCCCATTCCCAGCCAAATCCATTTTCACCTACCTCTCTGATTCATTCATCTTCACCCTAGTCTTCATTTTGTTCACTTAAACTGCTACTAATGTGTGTGGGCTGAATTAATACATTGGTTTTCAAAATGGTTTCAGAGGTTCATATTCAGCATGCTGTGGCATAATGCTCAGCAATGTTATTCAGTCCAGCAACATTTGTTCAAATCCTTGCAAAATAAACTTGCACAGCTACACTCATTTCACTTGGAAAGAAGTTTGCAAAATGTCAGCTGTTGAATTAAGTAAATTCACTATAAATTCATATGGTTCTGCATTCATCTGCATATAGACCACATCAATTTTCAACAAATCATAGTTATATTGGTACAATGCCATTCATAGCAACTACTCTTCTATTTGACTATGTATACAGTTGGAATTATGGCATAAAAACATATTCCGTAGTATGTTCCTTATGGCATAAAAATATATTCCTTTCAGAGTCTTACCTTAACCTGTTTATGCATTTAATAGGCAATAATATAAAAAGAGTGTATTCCTCTGAGGAAAGACAGGAATGATAGTAAGTGATTTATAATGGTTTATGTTGCATCAGGAGATTTATCACAGTTGATTTGCCAATTCTTAGCTACTTAGATTTATTTGTTTTCCTTTACAAAAGTTCTGGGCTCCACAGGAATGCGCTTCTTAATTCCACCTCAGTTTAAACACATTTCTTGTGAATGCTAATATTGAAAGTTAATTGTAACTTCTACCCCTAAGTTAGTAGAACTGAAATACTGTATGTGCTTTCTGAAGAAAACTAATATAATTTTAAAGATTTCAGTTTATCAGTTGGAGGGTTTTTAAACTGAAATTGTGTTTACCTCAGCTTTAAAAAAAATCCTCAAGAAGTAATCTTTACAGGGCACAGATGATGTGAAGGGTGTACAACACATTACTAATTCTTTTCTCTAAGCAATTATTTACACAACAATAATGTACACATTTTTTTATACAATTTACACAATTATTTACAAGTTATTTGCAGAAGCAACAATGTTAGAGTTCCTTTAGTTGGGAAAATAATAATAAAAAAAAAATCACTCAGGACACAAAGCCATTATTTTACCGTAAGTAGAATTCTTCCTTGTGTGATCTTTTTGGAGAGTCGGGAAATATCAGCTATGGTGTGATATCATATCTTTATTGCAAACATACTACTCAAGCTAGTGCTTTTTGTTACTGATACAGGATGAGATCATAGGAAACCACGTCAGGGCTTCCATCAAGAACCTTCCGGAAAATGGAATCTATTAATAAATACATAAATGCAAATGTATTCTTGTACGGCTATATATTCTGTACATGAGTTCATGTATATTTGGTGGACTGTTGGTTTAGCAGGTGTTCACGTACCTACAGGAGGTTCATGACTGCCAGTTCCTTCCTCTGTCCTCTCTGTATCATACTAATATATTAATGAATTGCACAAGAATTCCCTGATATGTACAGTCATTTGATATCCAGCCTACTTAAAAAAAATTCCACAAGCAGTCGGATGATAGGACAAATGTCACAGATACACCTTGAACCATTCATTAACTTGTTACTGTTAAAGAAAAACACAGTGCTGGCATTTTAACAGTGTTGTAAACCTTGTTTTGAGAGGATTTTGTGACAAGCAAACTTACGTACTTTTGTAGCAGTTTGGACCAAGGCCTTAAAAAGTCCTTACAAATTCTAAAATTCTCACAAAACCCCTTTAGGGCAGGTTGCTGGGCATTATGCTTTCAACCGAGGAGCATATTAACATTAACTTGTCTGTGCTAAGATGGTATTTCCAACATTTTTTTGTTTGCTAATACCGGTTTATCCCCACCAGCCAACTCAGAAGTGTCATGTCACTCGGCTGCTGTCGTCACTACTGTCATGAGTAGAACAGTACCTCAGGGCAATCAGAGGCATGATCTTGGCTGCAGCTCCCCCACGTGAAGCGTAAGCCTTTGCTTATCTGTAGAAAAGATCCACTGGAGAAGGCTTTCTCATTTTTCTAGCGGGTATTCTTGATCTATGACACTTTTGTCCTTCAGCACTTTCAATAGTAAGGTTTATTTCTAACCTAGTTATCATTTTGTGGAACTAGATTTGGGAAGAATCACCTATATCAGATGGGACGCTGTGGCAGTTGTGGTGCCCTCTTGTCAGCTGCCAGATGCCAGGTTTAATTGTGATGTGATGGAATAAGTTGTGATAATAAAACCAGTGCTGACATCTTGCCTCTAACGAAGTTCATTGTTCTCCTAATACCAGCAAATGGAACTGACATTAACAGTTAGGAACTACTACTATCCACAGGGCTCAGCAGCAGGTTACACAGATGATCAGCAGCTACTTACTTGCAACTGTAGTTCTCTCTCAATAAAGTCAATGCATAAAAACATTACTCTCCTATCAGCCAGAGCCATTTGTAGATCCTTTAAAAAACTTGGGAGCAAATTCTAAAGGACATTTAGTTCCCCGAGTCATACTCTGAAGAAGACAAAAATAATATATATAGGATTTCAGTTGTTAGACACTGAAATATTCTTCATGTGTTTGTCTACAACATTTCCTAAATGCAAATAAAATATTTTGCTGTCTGTCATGCTTCCTAAAAAGAGTTGCCAATTCCATCTTCAGATTGGCTCTTAGTTTAAAAAAATTCCTATATAAGTAGCAGGGGAAACAAAAAATCCCAATGTGTTTTGTTGTTTGAAGAAAGGGTCCAATGCAAGGTCTGCACTTGCTTTGAGGTAATAATAACTGAATCTTCAATGCAGTAACTCAAGAGAACTTTGCTCCTTGAGTTCCTTAGTTAAATAAGATTAATATGTGATAATGATAGAAAGCCTTTTAAACAATATTACAAGAAATTTTTTTTTGTTTTAATTAACCAGTTAACTGATTTCTAGAGTGTCTTGGAGTGATTTAAATAATTAAAATAGTTCCTTAATCTTCCAGACATTTTAAGGGAAAGCTCTATCAAGTTCATTTCTGAACTCTTGATAAAACCAACTCTCACACAAGTAAACCAAAAAGTGGTATTTTTTTTTTCCCACAGAAAGTGACAGGAGCAGTGGGCTGCACATGGGGCCAGCTGCATGGCTGGAGGACAGGGCAGAGGAGAGGAGCTGCTGTGGCCGCGGTGGGTGGGAAGGTTGGCTGGGAACACGCTGCTTTGCTGCCTTTTTTCTGCAGGGTGATGCTTATCATGGGCCACCTGCCTCCAACACAAAACATGGACCGTCCAGGGCATCAGGCAAATGTTATCAGCAAGAAAGAAGGCTTTAGGGGGGAAAGTGGGGACCGTTTAGAGGTTTCACGTTCATTAGGACCAGGAAAAAACAAAAACAAAAAACAAACAAAAAAACCCACACACACACAAAAAACAACAACAGCAACAACAACAACCAAAAAAAAAAAAAAAACGGGAAGAGGAAAAGAAGCCAGGTAGCATTTTTAATATAGCACATCTGAACAAACAGCTGCAAGCAGATGTGAGCGGCCAGGCAGCCCTCGCCTGCTGGTGTCACTTCCCCGAGCAGCGTGGGAAGAGGTGCTCTCTGGTGGACAGAAGAAAAAAAGCCGGTTTTGCCGAAATCTGCTCTGCCTGGGTTTGCTCTAGGTCCCGCAGCGCGCTTGTGGAGTGGAGGAGGAGGAGAGAGCGCGTCTCCCCGGCGTGGGACGGCGGGTCCGAGGGCGGGAGGCTGCGCACCCAAAGCACCCGAGGGCTTGCGGATCTTCCGCGGACCCGAGCGGGGTGGTGGTGGGGGGGAAGAGCTCCAGAAGCTCTGGGTCCCTCCTTTCCCAAACCCCACGTGCCGCGGGCGGGGCCGGCGGCCGCGACCCCGAGCCCACCGCCGTGTCCCCGTGGTGTCCCCGCGTGTGTGTGTCTGTGTGTGTGTCCGTCCGTCCCCCCCCCCCCCCCCCCGGGCTGGTGCTGGGCCGGGGCAGCGCCGGCTCCGCACCGCGGGAGCGGGGGAAGCTCCGCCTCCGCCCGGCCAGGACCGGCCTGATAAAGGCAGGTGCGGGCGAGCAGCAGGACCCCAGCGCCGAGCATCTGCCCGTGCACGGAGCCCCTGACCCCCCTCCTCGGCCAAAAAACGGGTGGCGAGACGGGACGGGACCGAGACACACCCCCACCCACCCACCCACGCCGCCCGCCGTCCTCAGTCGCGTCTCCGCGAAGGGACAAGGACCTCGCCCCCCCCCCCCCGCCAAGGAGCTCCGAAGAGGCGGAATTTCTGCGGGAAGGGGAAGCGGGATTTTGGTGCGTGGCTTGGAGATGAGGCAGGGATCTGGAGTGGGGTTCCTCCTGGGGCTGATGGCTCTCCCAGCGGCGCTGGGACAGAGAAGCTCGGCCAGCCCTATAAATAGCAGCCAGCCTCAAAGCTTTGCCATCGTCTCTTTCAAGTGGGACCACGTCAAGGACCCTTATGTCATCACGCTCTGGATACTTGTGGCCAGCTTGGCCAAAATCGGTGAGTCTGAGGTTCGACATTAATACCCGTCCTCTCCCTTTCCCTTCCCCCCCTTCCCCTTCTCCCACCCGACGTAAATGAAGAAAGCTGATCATAAGTCCGCTGACCCGTCTTCAGAGGATTTACTGTGCTCTGTCCTGATTTCCTAACGCTGCCCTACGCGGTGCTCAGCGGTGCGATTTCCCCCTGTCCCAGCGGGTTACCCAGTTCGTTCCCAGCTCCTGGGACTGCGGCTCCTGCCTCTGGCTCCTGGCAAACCCTTGCAGTCCCTTGAAACCTCGCCATCACTGCTGCTCCCGGGAAAAAAAACTATTCACAGAAGTGAAAGGGAAATCGGGCCTTATTGCTTATACAATACCTATTCCAGTTTATGGCCTGCCATTCTCCTGATGAGGATTGGTAAGCTGTATTAGCTGGCACCATCAAAAATAAACGCTGCAAACGACACGCATGAATTTAGCATTCTCTGCTTTGCAGTGCGTTGCTGAATTCGTGAAAGAGCACGGTTTATAGGGGAAGGTAATACGTATTATCAGACCACCTGATGCAGCTGAAAGAAATACCAGCTTTCGAGCACACAGAATTTTCTTCAAGAAATTGGAATCAGTAAAAGCAAGGACTTAGACTAACTTCTGTGTAGTTTAAGTGAATTTATATGAATGCTTTAACTCTTGGGTTCTGAACTTTGTGACTTTTCCAAAAGCAACCTTATATTAACAACACTGCCTGCTGAACTAGAAGAGTCACCGGTTAATTGGAGTAGATGTTATTTGCTTCATGCTAGTCTTTTCAGTCCTTTTATCTTTAGGTCTAAAAGCAGACCTCCGGTTTGGCTGACATTGAAAATATCATTTTCAACTTTCAATTAATTGTCTCTAAAATCAGTCTCAACTCAGAATATACGATCAGCTCAAAATCCTACTAATCCTTTTCCGTACTTGCACTGTTAATACTAATTTGGGATACCAGAATCACATTCCATGGATTTGGCATGTCACAGAGAATGGAAGATGTAAAAATGTCTATCTAGGTATATTCTGTCTAGCACATAAGATAAACACAGTGAGACTCTGGTGGAAAATGCTGTCTCCAAATCCAAATAAAACATTTTAATGGCTAGGAGTAAGTTATGTAGAGGTGACACTGTGAAGCGTTTTTCAGTCATACCTGCATTTTGGATTTCACTTGCTTAACCATAGATATATAACTAAATGGCTTCATCTGAATCACTGTTGGACTACACCTTGCAAATAGTTTGTGTTCAGGAGGTTGCTGCATTACCTAGATTACATAGAAATACAGTTTTGTTTTAATTGATTTTTATTGGTGAGTTATATCAAGTAGAAAGCTGGGGAAACCAGGTACAGGGAAAAAACAGTGACAATGTTGAGTCCCTGTAAAATTGTGCTGACTAAACTAATGCACAGGTTGCTCATTTGAACCTTCTTTTTGAGATGCTCTTCTAAATAAATATTTGCCCTTTGTGTTACTAAGGCTTTGCTGTTTTGTACATGTGCCACAGATGTGCAGAGTAACACTAGTATTGCACAATCATATCAGCATTGTGTCAGAAATTCAGTGAAGCTAACAGGACAGGTAGATTGTCCTATATTTAAATTGCAATGGCCCGGATTAAGATTATCGTGGATTAAGATGAGCCATTTTACCATGAAGTGCTGGATATAAACTCTTGATAAATCACTGATTGTCCTTGGAGTTCAGGAGCTGAATGATGCTGGTTCTGTTTTTAAATTCTTTGCACTTCTTTCATGGCTGCACAGAGCATGTCACTAGTAGACAGCATCCATCCTCAACTCCACTATTTTTCTTCCCCAAAGCTTCGAGCTTCATGCTTTTCTCACCTCCCATTTGTAATTGCAATCCTCTACTACTCTGGATGTTGTCTCTGAAGAAGCAATGGACAGCTGCTGTATTCCACTGAGAGTCTATGAACGCTCCTGCTTCCCCCACCAGTCACAAATGAAATACTGAAAAGTAGAAATGTACGCTCACTATGCAACAGCTTCTTAATGAAGGAAGCATGAAAGTGTTCACATAAATCAGTGAGAAGGGGAACTGAAAAAAAAAACGCTTGTCAGCCTTCTATCTGCCTTGGTGTGTCAAGGGTTCTGGAAAGTAGATCAGAAATCTATCAGATTTTGCATGGTAAAAATGTTGTGCTGGATCAAAGAAGTTTTATACATTCAAAAAAAACAGACAGAAAAGAGCTGAGGAAGAAAATACACATCTGCCCCCGTGTCTCTTGCTTTACTACCTGAAGAAGGGCAAAGGTAGTGGAGTCAAAATGCAGGTTTTGCTGTGGGTTTTTCAATAGGGGAGGAGCTGTTGTAACACATGCAAGCTCACTTCTCCATGGCTACAGAGGCTGGGAGAGCTCTTTCACTGGTGGATGATAGGCAATTGGGTCAGCAAAGGGTGTTCTGGGAACTACAGTTGGGGATGAAAAATATATGAGAATACTTTGCCTTCTCTTGCGTATAGAGTAATTTTAGGGTTTTGTGGGGTGTTTGGTGTTTTGTTTTTTTTTTTTTTTTTTTTTCTTTTGTGTGTGTGTTTTTTTTTCCTCCCCCAAAAAAGTTTCATTTCATGATATTATATGGCTGGGGGAAATGCACATTTAATAGCAGGTTCTTGTGATACTTCTGGGACTTGATGGTCATGCTGTGTACATTCAGAATGTAAATTGGTGCTGACAAGGTATTCTGCAACATAAACAATTGTATGTGAAATCTTGTAAGCACCCCAAATAATGAAGAAGTGTAGTGTTTTGGGCTTTGTGGGAAGGAAGGTGTTATTCTATTTTTTTCATATGAAGAATACTTACATCTCTTGGGCAAGTCTAGGTATTGATACAAATGAAAGTGTGGAAGAAGAGGCTTCATACAGTTGGCTTTCATGCACTATAGGAAATAATTTGTGTCTACTATGAAACTTATGATACATCTCAGTGTACTCTTTTACATAGTACAATTGGTTTGATTTGACCCTCTTCATTTGAAATGTTCCAACTCTCCATTCTAAGGTACAGAATGTTCCACTTTGGCTAATGATCTTTATTTCCTCTTTTGATAGGCTCCCTTATCACTGCAAATGAGTATCCTTATGGGATAAGGCCAATAAACTACTTACATGTGTAAAGCTAAGCCAGAAAAACATCTTATCTACATGAAGAAGGTACATGAGGTACAGCTGAGAACCCTCCTAGGGGACTTCAGTTGTCCACTTCCTGGTACCTCAGTTCTCCAGATGAAACAAGCAATAGCAGTGAAAAAAACTAACCAACCAAACCCAAATATATACATGTATGTATATACAGTTATAGACTAAGGCATTTCCTACTGTAATTATGTTGATAAGGGATGTAGCATTTTTAATCAACATACTTGCACAGTATAGTTCTAATTTAAGATTAAATGCACGTGCACAATGACCAGCCTTGCACGTGATTTTTAAGCTCACTTTCTCATGTGCTCTTCTCCTTCTTTATATGTATTTAATAATAGATCACATCTTGAAAATAACCTTTTTATAAGCAGACATGTAGAAGATATAAACAGTGGCAAGAAAGTCTACTACAGAAAAAGCCAGGAGGAGGAGATCAGAAAACAGCTCTGCAAACAAGTAGAAGGAAAGGAATAATCAGCTCAGGAGCTAAAATTGGGCAAGAGCAGAAATAGTTTAAAATCTGAATATTGTATACAGCTTTTTCTGAGGATATTTCTGAGGCCATGTCTGTTGCAAAAAAAAAAAATATGTTTTTTACTTGGGGGAGATCCACTGCATACTTATATACTTGTTCAAAATCCTAGGAGTCAGAGAGAGATTGTATTTATATTTTTATTGGAGGTTATGTTGGGAAACATGTAAAATTCCTACTTGTGGTTTAAGTCCTTTTGTGTAGTATAACATTTTTTCTGGAGGATATTAATTGCTTGTCCCACAATAAAATAAAAAATCCCTACAAAGCAGTCTTTCTGCCTGTTTAGCCCCCTGAACTTACTCAATGTGGAGCAGATAAGCAACTGTAGGAAAAGGTGGGCAAGTGAGTGACTATGAACAGGAGTGAGGAAGGGTACTTAGCCTTTGCATTACCTGTGAGTCAAACCTCTTGCCAACTGTTTTTGTTGGTATAGTTTTATGCTAAGTCTAAGAGTGTCACAAAAGCTGTTTTTATTTATTTTTTTTTTTTTTATTTTTTTTTTTTTTAGTCTGTGTAGTTGTGCACAAATTCTAAAGGCTTTTATATTCAAAATTTAAAAGCAGGAGTGAAATTTTAATCCAGGGCAGCTGGTAAATCGGTCTTCGGGAATGCCACAATGCTTTGGTGGAGGGGGAAGTGATTCAATAACAATGAGCAAACACTTAGGAGAAGGCTGGCCTAGTGCTATCTCAAAAAGATACTGTGTCAGATGGACTTGTTGAGTCCATCAGCTCCTGGGACCCCAGGAGGTCATGAGCTGTAAAGTATGCTATATCTCTAAGCCTACAGAGATATGGGTTCCTACAAATGCTCTACTTTCTGCATGCCCAGGCCCCTTCACACTGTCTCAAACTACACTGAGAAAGGAACTCTTCAGAGTATTTTGTTAACACAAACAATTGCTGTGGAGAATTTTAAGCATGTTAGGGATGGGCTAGGGAAGGAACTGTGAAATGCAGGTCTAACAACTCATCCATTTTAGACTCCTGGGGCAATATTTTCTTTGAAGAAATCAATACCCCTCCCTCCAAAGCAAGCTGTCAAAACAAAAGCCCATTTGACTTCCAAATTTCTCCTTCTGGCATTTTAGCACTAGTGAAAAGTGTAAATTGTTTAGAGAAACTGATTTAGGGTATTGTATTAATAAGAGCAAAAAATGTGAGAATAGCTCTCCTGTTGGCACTTCTTCAGTAAATAACATCTTTAGGTAGAAATGTTGAAGGATACTTTATTGGAAGTATTTAGCTGAAAAATGGGGTCAGAGACTGAAATGGTGAGG